AAAACAGCGCGCCTTTTCGGTCACAAGGCTAGCATACACAAGTACATGAAGTGACGACAGGTGTGCGGGTTTGGTAACATAGCAGCACAGGAGGAAGCCTGGAAGTGCACCCGTAAGCTTACAAAAGGCACTTACACCACTAGCTCTTGAAACAAGTCGCCGGCGAGGACACGGCCAGCTTGAAGTGATTGCGATTGACCGTCTTTTGACTTTCAGGTACAATTCAGCCAACATAGGGGGACATAGGTACGATTTCCTGGACACCAGCGGATTTCATCACCACTGCCAAAGCTGCCAGCGCTGCGTGTCAGCCTGCATTAGCGATGTGCTAAGACGTTGTTGATTTTGTGCTTCAGGTCTTCCGAGTCATTCGAGTGGTGAAGGCCACAAACTCTGCAACATTCAAGCAAAAGTTTGCCTCTAACGTAGCTTCGCTCCCATACCTGTGCCAGAGTCAGTACAATTCTGACTCAGTTCTGACGAATGAACTGCTGGCAAGGGTCTCGGTCTGATAGAGGTCTAGGTACTGCTGAGGCATGCTGAAGCCTTCACATGTCCATGTCTTGTGCTGTAGTTTGCGGTAAGTTGACGATGCTGGGCAGGTGATGAAATTTGTGCGGTCGTTGCGACAACTTGTCGAGTCCATCATGCACACGATGAAGCTCCTTGGCGGCACCGTAGGTGTGCTACCCAAGGCTCGCAGGGCAACGTTTACATTTTAATGCGCACGCCTCACAGTTGTATAAATTTTCAGTCAAGGTCGCTGGCATGGTCCATGCTGCTATTGGCAGCTTGACAGATGTTAAATCACCAAAGCTGCTTGCTGTGAGTCGTGACAGTCTGGCTACTACCTGGAGCATGTGCAGCCAGCTTCCTCCAGGTAGCGATCATCTACGTCTTTGCTATCATGTTCACAGCCACCTGGCTGCACCATGCTGGCGCTTGCCTCATGCGCTTGAAATCGTTGTTTGGCTGGCATGCTTCAGGATGCCAGTGTGGCCTACCTGGTGGACAACCCAACCAGCGCTCTCAACTCTGAGCTGGTTGTAAGCTGGGGTACCCTTCATGCCTCCATGCACACGTTGTTTCGAGCAGTCTCGGGTGGCTTTGATTGGGGCGGCACTGCGGCTGCTTTGGGAGACATCCACTGGGCTTGGATGTACCTGTCCAGAGCTCAGCACGTTCTACCATGACGCTGCACAAATGTGCACACCTCATCCCTGTGTTTCCATGATAGCGTTCATAACCAATTATGCAATAGTGAATGCAAGCGCATTGCATTGCTAGCGCTCGTCCGCCTCAGCCGCATGGCTCCCAGCAGAACAATGCGCTGGGACCAGGCTCTTACTTTAGTCTTCAAAGATCACGTTTTGTGACCTCACTAGCTAGCCAGTTCAAAACTAATCCACAATGATTGCAAAGATTGCGGATTAGAACCCAAACAAAACAGAAGTTATCGGCCAGCTCAAATGCTAGATGGCTTTCCCAGCCAGCTAAAACACCTTCATTGCACTTGAGAAAAAATGGAACGATGCAGAAAAGATTAGCATGGCCACTCACAAATTTATGCCCCTTACAATGCTCATGTAATTTGATTGGGTAGCATCGCTCAGGTCCAGCGGCCCTAAGCAACGCACAGCGTAGCTAAGCAACGCAACTGGTTCCGCATCGTTTAGCAACGCAGGTCCACCGGGCCTAAGCAACACGGCCTCAACTGGCCCATGTGGAATGAGAGTTTATATAACCCCAATATTACCCTACATAAACCCTATATAACCCCATTATTGTAGTTTCCATTTTCTTTTCCATTATTCCCTACTTTAAAGATCATAATCTAATGGGCTCCGCTCCGGAAATAACCCCAGATTTCCAGGCTGCACACTTAGCGGGAGCGGCGGTTTGCAATTCCTCCAGTAGCATAAAACTACATGTTTCTGAGTTCGGATTAGGTAGGATATGCGGATTACAAAGATTATGATGTCAAATTCGGATTACCAGGATTAAGGACTAGGATTAGCCCAAGCTCCGAAAATTTTTGAGCAGGCCAGACTAGCCCTGCGACTTGGGAAATGATACAAATGCTGAGAACTCATGCAGCCGAGGAGCTCAAGACTGCACAATTTCTCTCTGGGCCACTGTGCGGGAGCCATGGGTTGGTCGACATGAGTGTGAAAAGCTGAGAATCCGAGCCATGGTCAACAGGTGGCTGATGCGGCGCTCAAACTGTTCCAAGATGAGCTCGGTGCACGAACTCCATCCCTCGCAAAAAGGTTCTCAGAAGTCGTGGTGCAGTCTAAGCTGCCCGAAGGAATTTTTGTCAGGCTTGTTGCAAGCGGTTGCTTCAAGTATTTAAGGCTGGTTCTGCGACGTACATGTCTGCGATTGGGCAACAATCTTCGCAAGCACAACTGGGGGCGGTTTCTGCAAGTAATTTGGCTTCGCGGCTAGCTCTCTGGAAGGCAGGTTCATGCTGCTGGGTTGCCAGACAAAGCCGACCTCAAAGGCTTCGCCTTCTGCATGAACACCAAACAAGATTTTTGGAGTTCCGCGCAAGTGCACACGGGGCAATGTAAAGCATTGCAAGGCATCATCCAAAGCGCCTCTCCTGTTCTCAGATTTTACTGCAAAACAGTCCTTGCCGATGTGGCTGAACCCTGACCAGATGGGCCTCAGAGATGGGTGGGAGTGGTCACCCGAGGGCACGCAGTCAATTCCTAATCTCCAGACTTTGGGGCGCGCCTTAAAAGTGGGATGGTCCTTGCGCGTTTCTCCGATCAGTTCCCCTATGCTGGGACCGTAGCAGTGGCCACACAACAGCTCAGCCAGATGTCCTAGTTCACACTGCTCGTGCAATTGCTACAGCAGGAACGCTTGAAAGGGCGCCTGCCGCTTCTGGTTTGCGCGTGTATGAAAATCTCATGTGGAAGAACTGCGCCCACAAGGCCGCAAAAGAGGGGACACTAATCTAGATATCCCGTTGGCCATCCAGAAGATGGACAAGCATGTGCTGGACATAGCACATCGCAGGCTTGCTGAGGTTTTGAAAGAGGCAGGCATGGACTCAGGCGAAAGTTCGCAAGCCGCAGGATCTAAAGCCGGTCCAACATCCTCTCCAAATCTGGCCACAATGGAGCAGCTTGTTGGCCGGCAACTGTCGGCCGCAGAGACATCCCAACGTGTGGCAAAAGTTTCCAAACAGCTGCTGTTGGAAACTCAGCATGCGATCCTGAAGAAGGGTTTTGCCATGAACAATCATACAACTTGTCGAAAAAGCAAGCAAAGGCGCAGGCTCGGTTCGCAAAGACAGCAGCTCGGCGTCAAGAACAACAGAATTGCAGATGGGGAGATCGTTGCAGCTGAGGTGATACCCAGGTGACTCCGGCAGAACCCTGCGCAGGCAATGCTGATGTCGCGGTTCGAGCGTGCGTGCCAATGTCCGACCATGCGCGGCAAGGGTCTGATCGGGCAGCGCAGGACACACGTGTCAACGCTGCCCTCTGGATCGCTGCAGCATTGATGTAGGAAGCTCTTGAAGCATCTTGAAGCATTTGTGTTGAGTCAGCCAGCTCAACTAGACAAGCTTCTGTGCCAGGCAGAACGCTGGAAGGCAGACAGAACAGATGTGGCTGTGACTGGGGCAGAATTTCTACTTGAGGCACCCAAGGTGTGGACACTGACTCAACCTCGAGAACCGCTCATCAAGTCCTAGGAGGAGGCTACCTGGGTCAAGGTCCAAAGCCCTTCATCGAGGACTTCGAGCTCAAGGTACAAGAAATGGCTGAGTGGCTCGGATCAGCTTACAATCTGGCGCCAAAGCCCTGCTCTGCCGTTGGTGGGACGTGGTTTTCGAAGCCAGGGCAGCTGCGTGGAATACGTCTGGAGGTAGCGCGCAACAGCGCGAGCGCTGCAAGTGATGCTGAACCGAGCCGTTACTGTGGATGAGGCCAAGGTGAAGCGGTCTTGCTTGGCGCAGGAGCTCATCCAAGCGCATGCCCCCTCTCTCGAGTTCTGCAAACGAAGTACCCGTTAAATTTCATGTGCTGCTGGGAAATCTGGTCGAGGGTCTCTTGAACTTGGCGCGGCGCGTGCAAAGATAGATAGACTGGCGGCGCGCAAGGATGGTACGCAGGCCGCGTTGAGCGTGCAGGCGTTCAGCTGGCGTGAGTTGGCAGTGGCTGTGCAAAAGTGTCATTGTGAGGCCGCTCCCTCCGAAGTGCGCTCCGCTGCGCAGGCACTGCTTCCAAGTGTGTTGGAGCTGTTGCTTGGGCGTGTTGGTTGCGCGATTGTTCTCTTCACTGGAAGGGGCCGCAAGTTCGAACGGCGTTGCTGGGCCTGAAGAGGGGGCACTGTGCTATGGAGAGGGGCTCTCTGAAACCGCAACTGTTGCTAGATGAAGCAACAGTGAGGCGCCTTGTCATCTCCTGCGCAAAGCTCCCGTATGTTCATTATAAGCTGCCCGTTTATTTCTGCTGCGGTGGCATTTTTGCTGCGAGTGCAGCCGGAAGCCGTCGACTTGGAAGCGTGTCGCGTTTCAGAAATTTGTGACTTTCCACTCAGCCGTGGTGCTGCGTGATGGCATGTCACATGTTAGACTTAGACTTCGAAACAAGAAGAACCAACTGGCCTGAAGGTGCTTTGATGTCCTGACCTTGCGCAGGCTGTCAGCAAGGAAGCCAAGTCGTATGCACACTTCGCCAGCTCAATGAAGTTTTGCAATGTGCTCAAGCAGGGCAGAAACTTGCCTGGAGATTTTCCACGAGGCCTTTGGCGTCCTGCAAGTGCCGGGACGAGTCTTCTTGCAAAGTGGTTGTTGGAGCTTGCATGTGCATTTTGGCATCCCCCTAGCCTCGGCTCTTGGTGTGCCAAAGGCTGCTCAGGTATTCCCCGAGCTTTCAGCGAATTGGAGTGGACATCTCCATGATAGGAGAATTTGAACCGCGTTGGTGCTACCAGGCTTCGTCTTTAGGGCTGCGCGCTTGCAGTTTGAACGGGTCATTTGTTGCTAAGGTTCCTGGAATTGTTGCATGTACCACCCGTACCTGCCCTATGACGCCCTGGGGAAGGGAGGGGTTGCGCATGTGTGTTGCACAGCGTTTGTTTTGGCACATGCGCCGCCTTGGGCCAGAATGTGTTATTTCGTGCATGATTCCATGTTGCACGGTTTTCGAGTCCTGTTTGCCAGTATAGTCACCGAGACCAATTTTGCCAAAAAACACAAACAAAAGGCAGAACCCAGTCTAACTTCTCCAGACGCCTGCCGTTTTGAGGCCGAAGCGAGTCGTCCTGTTGCCGTTTGACCTTTCATTGCAATGCATGGCTGAGAGCGATGTTTTGCCCTGCAACTTCAGGTTTTCCGCGTACATCGCGTTCTGTATGTTTGCAGTGCTTAATGAGTCTCAGCTCAAAGAACATAAGTTTTGGGGGTGCTCTGCAGAAGCTGCTGTTGAAACTGGCTGCAGCGTGGAGGCAACGTGTGTGGCAATGTGCCCGTACAAGCCTGCCTCACGAGGTCATGACAGGAATTTTCTGCCAGGTTGCCGTTGTGTCTTGGCTGAAACGAAGCGTCATTGCATGCATGTTTGGGACTTCCATTCACATGCAGGCCTGGAAAAAACCTCCAACGCGAAAACTTGGGACCCAAAACTTCAGACGTATGTGAGCAGACCCAACCACTTGAGTGCAAGTGCGCGTTGCAACCAAGCCATTCTGCCTCTTGTGTCGTTGTTGCTGCCGTTGTCTGTCCACAGGAAAGCTCCCGCAATGATCCGCAATTCTTGATGCAGCACCTGGTTGCCACACAGCGGCATTGCGACCATGGTGTGTTAACAGCTGCATACATGTCATGCAAACGCGGGAGGCCAAATTTTATATGTCTGTTGGATAAGTCTGGCAATGGATGGCATCAGAAGTGCCAAGGAGTCGTCGCTTTTCATTCATTGTTGTGGCTGCAGATGTTGATTGTTTCACAGCACACCGTGTGCGTAAATCATGCGTGAGTTTTACCGTTGTGGTTGTGGTTGTGGTTGGAATAGTCGTTCACACCACGCTGGTCATCACCTTGTCTCCATTCGCGTCCTGTCGTCCTCGTCTTCTGCTGGTCGTGGCCGCTGTGGCAATAGTCGTCCCCCTCTTCCACTCCGCAACTTATTATTCTTCTCCACCTCCTGGGCGTTGTGGTCACTGACTCTGTGTG